AATTGGAGATTTTAGAGTGCCAGAAAGTGCTATCAGATTTTCATGAGTGTACTGCAACTGTTTGGAAAGGATTGTGTGATGTAACATCTCTTCCATCTTGTAACCATATTGTTCAAGCATGGTTTACGCTTCATTGCATGATGTATTGGAACTGTGTTGCATGATCATACATTCCACCACAAAACAAAACGAAACCACCAGGAAATACCCCATTGAAGCAAGTATGATGCAACTTACTCTGCTGTTACAACATGGTTTATGTTTGAAATTCATAGAACATACAATGATACATATAAACTTTTCCTGAACCAAATTATGCTGCCTGAAACAATTCGTTCAACATGTCTCTTTTCCCTTTCTTTTACTTAATTTTGCCACTTGTCTCTCCTCCCTGCATATGCTTGGAGATCAAATTCTAGCTCCTTGACCACCTGTCCACATAGTCTGTCTTTTTTTTTCCATCTCACAGAAAGTTGTATGTTAAGGTCTACTTAGATAATATTTTCCTTTTGACACAGTGACCATGCACCTGTCCATGCAGACAAGATTTTATTGGAGGTCTTTTGGGGCAGTTTTGACTGTACTGTAACTACTACTGTTTCTTCTAAGAGGACATCGTATGTTCTCATTTTCACCTAAGCCAAGTAAGGAAATAGACTTGAGGTACGCCAAAAAACAGTTACTCAAGCAACTGGATATGATTTTTAAAACGTCAGACGTTTCAGCTAGTATCCACTAGCTTTCGTCAGTGACTGAGAGACCAGAGGGGAAAGCAGGTTTATATACACAACCTGTTGATTGATATGCAAATAAAGTGAAGACAATTTTTTGGAAGTCGAAAAAGGAACAAAAGTCAGACAAGTCAAGACAAGAAGATGCAAATTAGTCTGAAAGCTCCTGTTATACAGGACAGGAGCTTGACTTGAGGTACCTTTCCAAAGGACAAAATACTGGGGTCTACTAGGGATTCAAACCCTGAACCTTTAGGTTCTAAGTCAAGAACCCTTGTCGCCACAAGACGACTGGCTGCCTTTTTCAATTTCTTTTGTTGGTATATAGTTTCACCACTCGTCACCCCTCCTTACATCTGCTTGGAGACCAAACACTAGCCCCTTCACGCTACATGTCAGTCACATGACCCAATATCAAGAGGCCCGACAAACACTCCATAACAGAGCAAACCTGTCACTACGGTAACGGTGGCATCGATAAAGCGGCCATCAAGATAAGGGGGACAAACATCCTATTGGGGAAAGCTTAATTTGTTTAACCCTTGTCCTGCTGTGCGCAACATATGTTGCGCGGCACATTCACTACCATCTATATAACACCCTGTATAGGTACGATTTGGGGGTATTTCTCGTGCAACGGATTACACCGCAGCGAAACGCAACGAATGCGGAAGTAACTATGCCACTGCAGGGCAAAAAAATTTAGTTTTTTTTTATCTAATTAAGACATGAAAATATTGAAAAATATTGTGTCAGGAATGCCAGCAGGACAAGGGTTAAGTTCTTGGATGATGTACCAAAATAAATGCCAGCAGAAAGATAGCCTTCGTAGCAAGCTTAGAACTGGGGGTTTGGTGGTCTTCGGCTGTTTTCTGATTAGCCCAGTTCTAAAAACGGGGGTGATTCAACCAGGCCTGCTATGTTGTCTATATGCAATCAGAAAATAGCACATAAAAGTTCCCAAAGACCATGAAGACCCCCAAAACCCCCAGTTTTGGCATGCTATGGAGGCTAGCAGAAAGGGGTCTGCATGCCCCCGTGAATAGTTTCTTCAGGTTGGTAAGACACTGAGTAAAGAGACCAGTCAGAATTGCCCTGAGGAAGGTGACAGACGGTCACCGAAACGTCGGCTGAATAAAAGACTTGATTGTGTTAAAAGAGTCTCTTTACTCATGTCTGCCGTTTTTGTAAGGCATAAGTTATCTATCTTAATCATATTTAATTTGTGATTGGCCCACTGTAATTCAACCATTTCAATGCAAAGTGTGGGGAATTTAGCATAATGTCTCAGGACCTGAAAGTGAATGAATTTTCAGTTAAGAGGTGGAAGAATTTTACATACTAGTAGTTTGTAAATTAAATGCATTGTAAACCCCATTCAGAGCCCCATTGTGAAATGAATGACAAGAGGCAATACAACTGTGAAACCTAACAGATGGTGGTAGGAAATAGCTGTGCATAAATTACCTTTGCTTTAGCTACAGGAGATAAAACAGCTTGTCGTTTTCATCAGCAATTTTGGGTATGTACTATGTGGTTTGGTCTTTAGTGGGCATGTTTTATTCCTGAATTGTCTAAGTGTGTAATTATACACCTGAGTGATACGGTATGTAATTTATTATAGTTATACACCTGTCGTGAGTGAGTGATATGGCTTTTTTTCAAAGGAATTCGCTCACTATGCAAGGTCAAGAGACTGCTTCTAGGTTTTTGTATTTCTACTTTAATAAGTATGTACCGGCATAACCCCATGGTACTTTTCATCAGGGGACCACAAAGAGCAAAAGACATCAGCCCAAATCTCACATCTGCTTGAAGATAATTATTCCATGGGTCATGAGTGGGTCACATGGCTGTAGTACACATTATGGTCTGCTACACTGAGACACACAGATGGTCACACAAAATCACGAACAACAAGAAATCATACTAACTTTTGGTCTACGATTGTTTCAGCAATCTTGGTGAAACAACATGTAGATTGGGACATAGCAACTAAAGATGGGTCTTTTTACCCTCCTTGGAGCTATTAATAGTATTATAGTGACTACAAGTTTCTGTATTAATTACATTTAATAATTATTCAAAAATTTTGAGGTGTTTTAAAGTCGATCCCAGTCGATTATAAATGTGATATTTATACATCGTTCTATCACATGAGCACAGAATGGTTACTAAGGCCTTGAGTGTGATATTAAATTACAGGTCAATCGATGTAACATGATCAGCCAACGCCACTCTGGCCATGTGCCTGCAACTTCAGCCAGAGTGTTTCACCATAAGGCCGGTTACCCTCACGAATATAGAGAACAATTCTACTGCTATTTCGCTAACAAAAACCATATACAACGTTACAGATCCTGTTGCTTTTTTAATCTAGTCCCCAACACAACAGTTTATGCCCTCAAAGTTGCTCGCGATTTTGCAAAGTCACTCTTCAAAGCCACTCAACCAAAAATCCTGGAAGAACCAAAATGTCGTCTGCTACCGGTAAAAATTATACTTACAGAGTGTTGTCCGGGCGCCTTTTGCTTGAACGTCGTTGCTAGGGAAATTGGTGGGATCACTGCCTTGGAGTTCCACTGTTCAGGGTCTTGTCCTGCGTGGATCGCGTCCGTAGCGAAGTGAGGAAAGGCTGAAAGAAACCCGGCATTGTCGCCGTCGATACACCCGTTGTTTGCGGCCATGTTGGACTCAAATGTGGCAAACCCGGAGGAAGAACTGGGGGTGTGTCTGATGACGTGTGATGACGTCAGGGTCAAATGCGGGTCACGGGGCCGGAAAACGCGGGAAAGGTTTTCAGAACTCGCAGCAAAGGAGGAAAAACAACAGCAAATTTTACCGTTTCGCGATAGTTTTACGGTCGATCCACGGTTGAACAATCGCCCTAAGAATGCTATGGACATATCTGTTCACGATTTTGTACAATAGAAACACTACATGTCGAGAAAATGCTGATTTAGTCAACTCAAAATCACAAGACTACCTTTGTCGGTAAATATTTGATCAAAGGAGGCGGGGCATAGGTGGTGCTATGCCACGTGACATATTTATTGACCTTTTTGGCACAGTCACTATTGCACCATTCTTTTGAGGAAAAAAAAACAGCGGCGCAGGCAAAATTGCTGAGTCATGATTACGTTTTGCATTTTTAGTAACAGCAAATCTTACCTAGATATGAAATACTTTTAACGTCAATACCTTTAAGGGTAAATGTAACGTCAATATGGAGATATTTCGTGCCCTTTGGCATTACATACTTACTGTAGTTACTAGCAATAGATTTAATAGGAAAACTTTGCAATAGTACGATCATGCGTGGCTGTACATGCTTTTGAAAATGGAATCATAAATAAAATCGATTTCTTTCCTTTTTGCAAATTTTGAACTACTATGTACGCCGTACGCTTCTAACAGGTGTAACTATTCATATAAACTGAGCCCAATGTACGTGTGTTTAATACCTGCCAAATGTGTGTTTACCGTAACCTTTACCTTTGGACCGGATTGACCTTACCCTCACGAAACCTTTCCGAGCGCTACGTATTACAACTTATACAGGTATGGACTTTAAACTCCAAGCAGATGTGCTGACGTCGTTTGCCTTCAGTTGCGCGCCTTTTCGCCTTTCAACTTCTACGGCAGGCTTCGGGAGGCGGCTGGAAAGTGTAGAAATTGACCAAACAGAGAGATAACATGCCGGCAGAGTTGGTCCGCTAGAAGTAGAAGAGTACAGTTTGCCGCAGTCGGATCAATTTCTACTCTTTCTATTTAGAGGCTATTTTAATGGTGCATTTTCTAAAGAACAATCTTCATTGGAAGACTGGAAAGAAAAACACTCCATGTGCCACTTGACAAGCTTTACAAAAACTGGTCAAAAGCCTACACACATTCTTAAATAGCGCAAAGTCGGACAAATTCTTTAATGATGGAAATGTAGAGAAGTTTACTTTCAAGAAAAAAAACTAAAAGACGCGACCGTGTATTTCAGGGTTGACCCGCTCTTGAAGGTTTAGGCACAACCCGTCATTCTATATCGCACTTTTCGTTCTTAAAGGGTTTTCTTGTCTGTCAATCTATTTGTAGCCAAATAAAGTTACAAATAATTCTGACCTACGGCGTGAAAGATAATTCTGGTGCCATGCATTTTGGCATTATTTTGCATTGCTTCCGTTCTATCCATACCATTTCACTCTTAGGATTCTTTTCAATTTTAGTACATTCGTAAATATAATTCGTCAATAAACCATTACTACTAAAGTAGAAAAGTTATCTTTGTCTATCTTTCCCATTGAAGTTTTGTAACCAGTCCCGCACCTCATCCAAATGGTAACCCTCCGGCCCAAGACCTCCCTTGTAGACAACTATACCGTCCAGTATCACAAATAGGCGGTCAGGATAGCAGGCGTAGGCTCTAGCTACGTTGTCGTCCATCGTATCCACAACAATCGGGCAGTACTGAGGGACGTGGTCATCATCGAGTTGCTGCAGTTTTCTGGCGGCCGCTAGGCGCTCTGAGAGAGAACGGTGCTGAGGGATGTTGATGTTGTTGTTCAGGGCCCAGCCGCCAGGGGGATGCGCCTCGGCCAGGTAAACCTACACGGCAAGAGGAGGAAGGGGGTATTTAGGGGTCACAGTTTTAAACTTGTGACTCTGTTGTGTTCTTTCAACGTACCATTATTTCACGTACATAGATACTAGTAGATATATACACACACACACACAGGCACAGGCACACACACACACACATGTATATATATATATATATGTATATATATATATATATAGAGAGAGAGAGAGAGAGAGAGAGAGAAGAGAGAGAAGAGAGAGATAAATGGATGGAAGGATGGATAGATAAATGGATGGAAGGATGGATGGATGGATGGATGGATGGATGAATGGATGGATCAAAAGAGTATGACGATATCATTACCGTGAGGAAGTCTGCAGTTTGCCTGTTGTCCGCTGCGAGGCGCTTGAAGTCGGCCAGTTTGGCCCGGAACGGAGGTCAGGAGCAGCTGCCGCAGTTCAGTACCAGGGGACGGCCTGGCGCCAGGGAGGAACTCGTTATAAGACGATAAAGGTAACATTTGTAAAACAAATGCATAATGTTTACCTTCACATATGGTCAGCTCTGTTAATTCTTACTCAAATACATTCATATATATGGTCAGAAAGGAGTATAAATCCCTCCTACTATAAAATTGCAGCATTATGGTGAGAGACGTCTGGTTCAGGTCATTGACCTTAATTGTTTGGATAAGAAGAAGAGGAAAAAGAAGCAGAGCAAAAACTATACGTTTTCCTTAGAATTGAATGTAAGCATAATAAAAGTCAGTACCTGGATTTTCAAATTCTAAAAGGTCCAGTATTCTTCCCGTGTCCAGTTCGATGACGTCACAGCTAGGCGCTGGTGAGCCGACCATGACGTAACTGCTGACGTCACGCCACACCGCCCCGCACACGTCCAGGTAGGCTGAGAGACTGAGGAACGTGTCTGAGTGGGAACATAGCAAAATTCTCCTAACCAAATGTTTTCTAAGTTACAGCCAATAAACCAACCAACTAACTAACCCCTGAGCGTCTTACCCTAACTGAGGGGTGTTGCACAGTATTTTATCAAGATCAGACCAAGCAAGCAAGCAACCAACCAACCAACAAACCAACCAACAAACAGCCAACTAACCACCCGGCCTACTAACTAACTAACCAACCAACAAAAAACCAACCAACCCGTTATTACGTGCAAAATGCGAAAGCACAGTCTAAAACGTTATTTTATATTTGTAAAACGTTATTGTATTGTTATTTTTTCAAATATATTACAGTGTTACATAAAATCTGTATCAACCGCTGTAGTAAATTCCCTTAATGCAAATAGCATCAGTTGTGACATAACGGTTTCCACCTCGACATTTGCGTTAAGATTATATAACTCCATATCTATGTACCTAGGCCAATATGTTTGTAGCGCTTTAGAAAAGAGAGAAAGAATTGTGACAGGCAGAAATATTCAATATACATCATGTCAATTTACGTTCAGATTTATGTAGTTATAGTTTCTAGGAATAGACTAGTATGGAAACTAAAGACCACATTGTCAGCCTTGCTAGTAACGTTACATGGCAAAATGTACAAGACCATTCATTCATTCATATAACAATACCTGCGTAGTCGTCGAACTCTAGCGGACAGTCCCAAAACTGCGTCGCCTTGGCAACTCTAACCAGGACCTGACGCTGTCTGGCGGGAGACACGACGCCCAGGATTCTCAGGACGATCATCTGTACCGTCCATTTTACCAAAAACCACAGGTAGGAGAACAGCGTTCGACAGAACCCAGGAGCGGCCATGTTGGCAGCAAACAGTACTACAAGGTCACCGATAACTAAAAACACACGTACGTAGCGCTACACTTAAGCGCTCAGTCGGAGTTCAACAAGCACGTTGCGTCACACCCTTAAGAGTTACTTGAAGACTTCTAGGCCCCAGTCAAGAAGGCGCAGCGCTCTAAAGACTTCTTGAGGACTGTGCAATTAAAGAGGTCATTTGTTCAAAGTGCCGTAACGCCCACCGCTGGTTATTAGGTAACCTGCGCACTGGGCTGACCTTGACCGGTGTTTGTTCTTGGGTCCAGTCATCCAGGTCAGATTAAAAGGCCGCTCGTGGTAAAAGTAACACAGAGGGACGATTAAAGTTTAACTTGAAGTTACTTTTTTTAACTAATGATGTTTTGTAACCTTTTTTATTACTTGTAGATGGAGTTAATCAAATCTATATAAGACGGATCCAATCCAAGCGTAAATCAATAAAGGCATTGCCGCAGAGGAAAGGGGCCACTGTCCGTCTGGTCATTCACCTTTGGCACAGTCCTAGAGTTGACGTAGCCTCAACATTGCTGCTGTGTTACGCCGAAGGGCGGTTATACCGGCTTTACAGATACAGACACCACTACTTATCATTACCTGTCATTAATTTAATACCTGCCAACACTCGATTTGCAAATGCAATGTGTCGCATCAGTCCAGTCTCTGTACGCTGTTTTTATTCAGGTCATCAGGCAACAGAATCCTGCAACCTTTGACCTTTTGACCCCACAACAAGTCGAGGCAGGCGCCTGCCAGGGTATGTTTTTATTGCAATTTTGTGTCGGTTTCACCTTAAAATTACGTACTATTCGTCCAGTTTGTGAGATGTTAAGACATCAGATGTACTAGTTACTGGAAGCAAAAGCATTTTCTGTTATATACGAAGCAAAAACTGTTACATTTAGTTTTGTTTCTCTCGATAAAATTATGCCCCCCCCACAACTCAGGTCTGTACTACCGGATCATCACTATGCACTAGTACTAGTACTATGAGATTATAAGAAAAAAGGACGTCGTGTTTAGAATAATGGCTACTGAAGGCTGTGAAGAGGACCAAGAGACTGAAGATTCAACATTTGTAGAGGACTCGGAGCGAGGTAAGTTATAAACGTTATGATTTGCAATAAAACAATTATAATTGTAACGGTTATGGCTTTGTGATTATGGTGATTTGTAGGTGACTGTATGGAGAGATGTGAACCCTGCCCAGTCGACCCTGCATTGAAAAAAAACTCCTCAGAAAAAAGACATAACAAAAAACAACAAACATAATTATTAATTATCTGTAGCCTGGGTACCATCTGCATTTTCGCTCCGCAACGCTCGAAAAATCACGAGTTAAAATCCGGATGGTACCCAGGCTAAATTGCTTGCATGTTGCAGTGTGGTGTGTGGGTGACCGGTGTCAGGCCCCCTGCTCCTACGATGGACAGTACTACACCGCTGTTATCCGGTCGGTCCACACGAGCCCCGCACAGTCGACCCCGCGTGTCACCGTCAAGTTCTGCGGGTTTGAGTCGGATGAAAATGAGGAAGTTCCCGTTGCAGAACTCAGGAAGCTGTCCAGGAGGGAGAAAACTAGAGCCTGTACACCTGAGAGAAATGGTGAGGGAACTTCTTACAGTTTCATGATCAAGCATAAAATTATACCATGGATAAGATCCTTGCGTATATAAAATGCAACATGGTGTGTTTTGTATCACTTAAGGTGCCAAGGAGATACTAGTACATGTATTATCTAACTTAGTGCATTTGGCCCATGTAGGGCGTGAATATGCAATAAAGTTCATTGTCATTGTCATTATCAACAATTGCTATTTTCCCAGTAGGGCTGGGGGTGAGGGTGATGCGGAATACATCATGTTGTATTCTATTTATGTCATACCCACCCAAGAAAACACACATTTCAATGCCAAATGTGCCAGAAATTGAGAATTTGTTTTTTTAATTCCTCAGTGGAAGTTCCTGCTGGTGACACCAGTATGTTTAGTCCCTTACAGGGAGACGAAACCAGGAAACATCTGGGGTAAGAAGTCTTTTTTTTTTTTTTTTCATGAGGTACTACTAGGATTTTGTGTGAGACAGGTATACAGGCAGGTACTAGTATTTGTTGATAGGGAGGGCCAAAAGGCCTTGTCTAGATTTTCTATTGTTCTGTTTCTTCCGTGCGTTGCTAATAAACCTCAGCTCAGACATACTAGTAATAATCGTATACCAATAGTGCATGTATGTCTTCAAGCTCATTGGCTATGATTTTGTACATGTTTCTATAAAACTTGTCTTTCCCTCAGAGCAAAGTTTGCCAAGCTGGAGGATTCAGATGAGGACATGACTTCCCCACCACCACCACCGCTGCCTGTCGGCCCTCAGAAGTACAAACCTCTGAAACTGGGCGGGAAGAGAAGAAGCAGGCCCGCAGGTGCAGTACAGGGCTCGACTGCCAGGGGGCAGGACAGTCCCCGCTACTCCTCCTCAAGGTAGCCATGGTTCTTATCATATCCAGAACTGTACATATCTAGTTCTAAGTCTGGATGGCTTAGGGGTAGGATAGGGCACGGTTCTGGATAGTCTCCGTGTATGCAAGAACATAGATTTGTCCATGGCACGGTTCTGGATATGCTTGAACTATCCACAACTGTGCATGGGCATGGTACTGGATAAAACATGATTACTGTATGTGTGACCCAGTGTGATACCATTACTACCGGTATTGGTATCACACTGGGGTTGTGGGGAAGAGCATGGCTTTTTTCCCTAAATGTACATGCTATGATGTAAAATGTTCGCTGATGATATTTTTGTTGTTCCTGGATACTGTAGTAGCTCGTCTCACCTGCCCAGCCCTAGAGAGAATGAAAACAGAGCCGACAGCACCGGGAGAGGGGACCACAGCTTCAGAATGGAAGGTATATGCTTGCTTATGAAATAAAGACTTTTCGGTTGACTTCATCAACCTTGTTCACAGAATGGACCTGTCTACTCTTGGACGTCACGTGTCTCTGACGTCACGTTCCAAGAGTAGATGGCATTCCGTGAACAAGGTTGATGGAGTCAACCGAAAATGTGGGGTAAGTCCCAATTCTATATCTAGTGTTGGAAGTTAAAGTTCAGTCTTTATTTCATAATGATTTGTACCAACACAGATGAACTTTCATGCTATATTCTTGCTTGTATGCCTGGATTGATACACCAGTTCTGTACTTAGTCTGATATTACTTTTCATTTAGACCTCACAAGCCATCAATGTTTCCGAAACATTGCCATGTTTCTCCACTGTGTTTCAGGTTTCAGTGATGAAGATTATGAGAAGCCGTTCTTCAGGAACCACTCTCATGTGGGGAAGAAGGAGCCCTTTGTTCTCTCACCTGCAGGAGAAACACCTGTTGTACAGGTAAACACCTGTTGTACAGGTAAACACCTGTTGTACAGGTAAACACCTGTTGTACAGGTAAAACACCTGTTGTATATGTAAAAACAGGCTTATACTTTCACAGAGTAACAAGAGTTGGGGCACAATGTATAATGATATAAAATGAGTCAGTATTTTCAGCCCCAAAAATTGTTTCCACAAAAATGTTCTGACAAAAGTTTCAAATTCATGGCTCTCTCTCATAC